ACCCTCTGGATCCTTCGCACTTAGACGCATATAGACGCTGTCTAAGTTAACACACTTAAGCATCATCATCATACACGTTAGCCAGGGGTGGAAAACACAGTCAATGTGCCGCAATACCAAACAAAAGCAAAAAAACGTACACCAGAGGCACGCCGGATGAATCACCAATAAAGGATGGACATCGTTCCGGAGAGCTAACAGCCGGTATTGTGCCGAAAAAGATGAATTATGTTCTGCACAGGAAATGAGATTGTGGTTGCAGGGGGAGGCTAAGCGGGAGGGGGTGGGAAAAAGGAACTCACACCGCGAACGTCATTGAGGTCGGTTCCTTGCCATGTCACCAAGTGTATCCAGCCAAATGTGTTCTCGTCTTTCGGACCCCAACCAGGGAGCCGAAAAGCTTCAACCGATGGCAACTTCGAAATGAGAGCCTTCCTTCCCCTTAACCAAGTCATCACTTGGTCACCTTCCTCTTCTTCCATCCACACCTGGGCGCGCAAACAACGCACGTCGCGAAACTCGGTGAGCTGGTTTGCGCAATACGTGGCCCAGCCATCGGAGCCTGGTGCGTGAAATCACCGTGCTGAGTGGTTCATTACTTCTTCTTGTGTCATAAACAAGGCGTCGAACACGCTCATTACTCACACGGCGTTCCCACCAAATATGGGCCAAACTGCGAAGGCAGAGATGATCGAACGTAACAAGCTTCTTTGTCTGTCTACCTAATAGGCCAGGTTTCGCAACCGTGCAACAGGGTTATATCGATTGTGCAATTCTGTTTTTCCAATTATATCTTCCTATTCCCGTTTCCATTATTTATTGTATAGTTTTGTTTTAACTGACCAAAACCTGATAAAACACTTTGAGTTTCGATTCACCTTCTGGTTTCGGCTACGCGTGTTGTGTTGTCGATCGTCGGTCTGCTTGTCTCGTTCATCGATCATCGGATCCAGCGCGTCGAATTATCCTGCCGAACCGCATTGTGTGACTAGAAAGCATCAGCAGTACCTCGGTAATGCGTACCGACGCCTCACTGCCGCGCAGCCACCACCAATTGCATGTGGGCTAAGGATACGGCGAGGGTCGTCCCGCCCCTGCACAGGCTCGAACCTGCACCGCTTGTGCGACTAAAAGGGCCTACCGAAGCTCGTCTTTCACCGAAGGTCAGGTCCAACATTCTTACTTTATAGACAGAGTTCTTTTATGTAATTAAACCCTTTCCACTACATTTTGGTGATCCGTATTCCTCTTTTGAAGCTCAGAACTTTTTCTGCTACTACTATGTCGGACCATGTTTCCCGCACTGACATTACAGAAAATTTTGTTGGTCTCTCACTACTTGCCTTCGATTCATCTAATCCTAATGTACTTTTTACAATTGCTAATCATTTTCCGCATCCATCGCATAACTTCGCAGTCATTCATATTCGCACATGTCACTGCCCAGTTTCCAACCCACATCGCAACTGGCCTTATAGATTTGCTCGATCTGATTCCGGCTGATGCACCTTTCCATAGGCTGAAAGCCGCCATTTTAAAGCACACCACAGCTTCTGACGAAGCTGAACTTCGACAGCTACTCTCCGGTGTTGAGCTAGACGATTGCATGCGTCACAACTCATCAGGTACATGTTACTTTGGTCGGTTCCAGGAAGATCGATGACGCTCTTCTGCGACAACTGTAGACCAAATATCTCCCACCGTACACCTCAACTATTCTTACTGTATTCGCATATAATCTCTCTCTGGATAACCTAGCCGAGAACACCAATAAGGTACACGAACGCTTTTTTTAAAAACGCATCATGTCCCTCCGTTGAGTCGACCGTTAACGCCGATCATATGAGTGACCCGATTGAATCGGTTTCCGAGAGTTTATCGAAGCTGAAGCTCGCTATCTCTAGTATGAATCGTTACCGTGGTCGAAGTCCTGAACGCACCTCTCGAAGTAGATGTAATCCGGCCAGGTGTTTGGCACGCCATTTCTGTTAATACCATCACCGTTTTAGAAACGATGCGAAGAATTGTCGACCTGGTTGTAAGCATCCAAAACCATTCTGTCACACTTCGATCGATTTTTGTACGCTTCGCTCAGCACGGCCTTACGATCAATGTTGATAAGTGTTTTTGGCCAAAGTTCTGTTGATTTTTGAGCCCTCGAATTGGTTGCAATGGCATTAGTCCACTCCCCGAGATAACACAAGCGATTGCAAAGTACCCCATGCCGCAATCCTTCAAAAGTCTCCGTCCTTTTCTCGGCATGACAAATTAGTACAGCCGTTTCATTCTAGATTGCTCTGGGCTACTCCAGCCATTGACTGATTTACTTAAAGGCCGGTCACGAAAATTCGAGCCCACTCAGGAGGCTATTTATGCATTCGACAGGATCAAGCGCGCGTTGTCCCACGTTGCCGCACTTAATTATTTGAGAACTGATGTTGACAGCACTCGCATCCCCCAGACTGATGCATCCCAGACCGTCGTTGGGGCTGTACTCCAGCAGGCAATCATTGGTCAACCTGAGCCGCTATCCTTTTTCTCTCGCAAAATTCAAACCGCACAGACGCGATACAGCATCTTTAGTTGAGAACTTTTAGCTATCTACCTCGCTATGGAACATTTTCGGCACCTGCTTGAAGGTCGCACGTTTACCGTTCTCACAGACCATAAACCACTTGCTTTTGTTTTCCGTGGTTCATCCGACCGTTCATTCCCCAGCGAAATGCGTCATTTGGATTATATCTCAAAGTTTTCGATCAACATTCGTGACGTTGATACCACCAAAAACCTCGTCACAGATTCCATGTCGCCTATCTGTCTTCACGAAGTTTCACGGCAGTCGATCAATTTAGAAGGCATAGCAGCTCATCAGGAAGGTGATACTGAGTTTGTGCAGCTGAGATCGAATCCATCGATCAAACTTTCACAACTGCCAGTTCTTAGTTCAGACTCTAAAATTTACTGTGATATTTCTACCGGCAAGCCCCGGTCTTTTATTCCTCAGCCGTACCGCCGAAACCTTTTTGATGATCTGCATGGAATCTCACACCCGATCATCCGAGCCACCGTCAACCTGATTACTGATCACTTCATTTGGCACAACATGCGCTCCGAGATCCAGCAGTGTATCACTTGTCAAACCAGCAAGATCCACCGTCACACGATTACCGTCCCGGCACGTTTGCGCTTCCCGACGCCCGTTTCAGATATGTTCATCTTGACATCGTTGGACTCTTTCTTCCATCCAACGGCTTTGTCTTCTTATTGACATGTGTTGATCGTTATACGCGTTGGCCACTTGCTGTGCCTTTACAAGATGTTTCTACAGAAACTGTGGCGCGAACATTCATTGAAATTGAATTTCCGTCTTTGGCACTTCAGCCACTATTACTACCGATAGAGGGCCCCAATTCATTTCGGTCTTGGTTCGTGACTGGAGCCGCTTGCTCGGTTGTTCCCACTTACGGGCAACCGCCTATCACCTAGCTGCCAATGGCATCCTTGAACGTTTCCATCGCCAACTTAGCCTTAATTACTGCTTCGCAGTCGAACTCACAATAGTCAGAACGTCGACCGATTATCTTGCTTTGTGTTCGTAATACCATTAACGTAGACATTGGCTGTTGTGTCGCTAAGTTGGTCTTTGGCACTACTCTCAGACTTCCTGGAGAAATGGTGCTCGACTCTAGGGTGACTGGAGTTGATCCGACCTTGTACGTCACACGCCTGAGACAACACTTAAGCTCAGTTTGTCCAACACCACCTCTAATCAGCCCTCGAAGTCAACTGGTACACCCGGATTTGCGCACTTTCCCCTTGGCTCTCGTGCGTGTCAATTCCGTCCGTAAACCTCTGACACCGCCTTATGAGGACCCCTTTAAGGTGGTTGCCTGGAAGGAGAAGTACTTCGTGCTGGATAGAAATGGTTATCAAGATACTGTGAGTGTTGACTGCTTGAAGTCGGTCTACATTGAGACGCGACCACTACCGGCATCTACAGACATTCCTGTCACCGACCAGTCCACCTTTCCAAGTACGGCTCCTACTCAACCCATGTGTGACACCTCTGTTCCCTCTCCTGCACCCCAAGCATCTCATGACACAAACTCGAACTCGCACCACCGAAAACGCTTCGGACGTACAGTTCTTCTCCTTCCAGACTATGATAAATACAACACAATTATCGAGCTTTCGTCTCATTTACTCACGCTCTAGGGGGAGCTCTCCAACGATTGTACAATTCTATCTTTCCAGTTGTACCTTCCTATTCCCGTCTCCATTATTTATTGTAGTTTTGTTTTAATTGATCAAAACCTGCTAAAAACACTTCGAGTTTCGATTCGGCTTCGGCTACGCGTGTTGTGCTGTCGGTCGTCGGTCTGCTTGGCTCGTTCATCAATCATCGGATCTAACGCATCGAATTATCGTGCCGACTAAAGTTTCGTCTTCTGAACCGGATTGTGCGACTAAGAGACGATCTACCGAGGATCATGCTTTACCGAAGGTCAACTCCAGCATTCTTATTTTATAGATAGAGTTCTTTTATATATTTAAGCTCTTTTTCTTTCATCCTTTCCGTTGTAGGATCGAACTTATGGGTGCATCATTCACTTTACTCTTCAGGGAGAGGGTGATGTAGCGCCGGTGCTATAGGTGGCGAAGTTTGGCAAAAGCACCTTGAGCTTTTTCTATACGGTTTCTGACCGTCTTTAATTCCAAAGGCGCTGATACAACTACCTAGGTACTTGAATTTTTTAATGACTCTTTAGGCAACTGATAGTTACTATGTTCTTAAATTTCCTGTCTGTGGTTCTCCATCTCGAAAACCTTATCCGATCACATCTTCCCGTGGTTGTATGTTTTCGCTCTTTTTATTTTCTCGCTTTATTTTGGGGACTGTAGAGTTTGACAATTCGGATTGTTGCATGGTTACCCTCGGACATTGCAGTACCACTCCCAGGTCCTCTTGTCTTCCTGCTCTCAACTGATGTTTACTGTTATGTTGCGTGAGGTCGACCCTACTCCTGACGCCTCATTTTGCGTGACGACAGCTTTACCCATGTGCCTCTTCTAGGTTTTCAACCTACCATCATGTGGAGATATCCTCACTCCTTCATCCTGGCTAACTCGCTTACATGGCCATCATTGTACGGTGACAGACGTCTGTGCAAAATTGTCTTTTTTGCTGGTGCTCACGATTGTTGCTTATCACCAGTATTTCACTACACCTTCTCAATTCTTTTTCTATCTAGATGCGTACTGGTCTTGCCTTGGGCTTCGTGTCTGAAAGCCCACCATGGCACCTCATTTCCCCCTTGTTTCCTGATAAAGTCGGAGGTCGACCTGCTTGGTTGGCTCTGAAACATCTCCCTTCACCGAACCAGCTTCAATGTCCATACTGTAAGCTTCCGATGGTCTTTGTTCTGCAAGTAGGTCGGTCATATTTGATTGGGTATATGATGAGTGGTTCTAGGTCTATTCAACAATCGATGATCGCCCCGACTGTTTCCATCGCTTTTTATATCTATTCATGTGCCGCAATGGACCTTGTCACGATCCCAATAACATACGCGCACCTTTTATCGTATTCAGATCTCAGTTGAGCCGCTCGAATCCGTATTATAGGTATAGGTCTACATCTACCTTTCGTTAATCTTTCCAATTCATAGTTATGAGCCAATGGAAACAGAAACTCCATCACTAGATCTTTTTCAGTCTTGGCTACAAACCGGAAACTTGGCATGTGCAGAACGCTTCAACTCTCTGTGTCCTATTTGCGGATGCAAGGGGGACAAATCATGCTCCCAATGCAAACGTATAAAGTATTGTTCAAAATCACACCAGGTCCATTTTTTTATATAATCCGGTTGATGCAGCCTTAATCCTACCTACATCAGGTAATCCATTGGAAAGAATCTCACAAGGCATTGTGTGGTGCTCCCCAAGATACCTTTCCCGTTGGACCCAGTTTTGATCTCAATTCTTTTTTACTTCCGGAATTTAAACTTTGTTCCGAGCCAGCTGAACGCAGTGTGGAGCACAGTGATGAATCATGTTCAAGCGATTCGGCCGCATACGAAACATCACAAGATGAGTACGTTTCTCTCGCTTGGTCAACCACTTTATTGAATGGGTATCTCAGTGATTGCGCGCGTCACTAGATGTTGTCGGGCTTTTTCGTCCCCATCACTTTTCTCCAAATTGACTTCTTTTGTTGCGGTTCCCGCTGACCGTACATATAGCCTGCATCGAGTGCGCAGTCTGGAACGGACGATCTTCCAGATCAGAAGACCAAGGTGTTTGGCAAAATCTCTATTGAGCGCCCAGAAAACAATATGTAGTACTAATGATGGAATCACATTTATAGTTCATCAAAAAATAACTTAGCTGAAAGCTCCTGGATTTCGCCCGTTGGCCGCCCATAAAGTGCGCTCAGTGGTGAACTTCAGGACCGATCATTCTCACCGGTAGACCTCAGGGTGAATCGCTCTCAATGGCTAGCTAATTGGCCTCAGGATGAGTCGGACCAAACTTCTGTGGGCTGCTAGCAATGGACCGGCTCCGACGGCTGCTATGGGTAGGGCCCGTTGACATCTCTCTTGTTTGAAGTCGGCGATAGCCAAACCATAGTACGTGGTATCCGACGCATGATTGCTAATGCCTGACGTCTTGATCATCCCTAGGTCCTTCAGCTGGGTGCACGTTAGCCGGTGGCTGGAAGGATGACAGGCTTGCCCTGTAATCCATAGGTGTCGCCGGTTCGAATCCGCGTAGTTATGAAGTGACCTAGCGTCATGCCCACTCTCCTCGCTACTGTTGGTAGTCGTCTGGCACCGAAGCATCAGTACGCGGTGTGCTGACGTATTGCCGATGCGCACACCAAAACTGCTTACCGATCCCCGAAGCGTGGTTGTTCCATCTCACTTTCGGTCCCCTTGTAGTGGTGGCGATTATATATGTCCATGTATGGTTACTATTGAACGTATTCGTTGTTAGGCGAATAGTTTCTCCAGCGACCGGCGGTTTCTTAGAGGCAAGAAAGAACCAACGAGTATATGGGACCAATTGCACCGTTTTGTCTCAACGGCGCACCGCACCAGTAACCAACGTTGATTATTTCATGGCAAAACTTTTTAATTACCCAGTAAATGTAATTTGCCATACACAAGCACTTTATACTGGTATTTTACCGCAATGCATCCGCAAGCGATTGTACGCTGGCCGGGAATAGGCACCGGAATTCAGCAAACTAGGCCCATAAACGGTTCATCAGTTAAACACAGTAAACTACTGCTCATGAGAGTGTTCTGTTTGCACCGAACACACCATTGACTGATGTGCACATTTGCATAGGTCTGGAATTCACTGACGCACCCATTGGAATCCTCTTTTCACGGGGGTATCGATAGGGGTGCGGCGGACGGCATTTACCTCAGTAGTCTTGAGGCTAACGCGCATGACTTACTTGTGGTCACATCATCATGTTCTAGAGGACAGAAGCACGTAAGTTCCATGCCACACTTTACGGTTCAACTCACCAATCGATCATGCCTACTTGAGTACCAGCATCTCTGGTTGAGCAGTACACAAAAATTGCGCAGAGACTCCCGCAGTGATCAAATACTGTTTGATGGTTCTACCGTCAATACACAATTCGTGGCACCATTTTATAGTTTATCTAGTGTTTGGGTCTCATTACATCATTAATGACTTTGACTCACTTCATCTCACCCATTCTGGACGATGTTCACCTTCGAAAGTCGTGTCTAAAGTTTGGGACTGCCACGTTTTTTCCCTAACTTTTGCCATTTTTCTTTGCTTATGGAGCACAGGTTTTGTTGGCTGGTCAACTAACAAATGTGCTCGATTGTCATGAATGTTTTTGGGTCAGTGTTCTGGTTTCCACTGACTGTACGAATAGCCTGCCAGAAACTGTTGTGCCGCCTCCAACCGGTTCAACCCGCAACAAAATGAGAACGCCAAGATCTGCCGGACTGAGGGATTCGTATTGTATCAGAGCATAGCGCAATAAATAGGTTGAAGGCAACTACTAACACATCGATATTGGAGATGCTAATTAACACAACTCACACGGTTCAAGTTCAGAGTTCAACTTGCCGCTGACCCCACATTGATTCGCGTTTTCATCTCTGCTTGCGTTCGATCTCCAATTGTAAATTGATCCAATGTTGCGCCACGGTTCTCGGCTGGTACGCTGACCGTAAGCTGGCTCTCTGTAACAGTCGGACCCAGTTGCTGCGCAGACGCTGGCTAATAGCTCAACGCATGGTACCACGCACTTTGGCACACACTTCGCACTTTTAAAGCCCCAAATACTACGCAGGACATGACCAACATACCGTTGGTTCTCACCGTCATCGAACAACTAGAGTGATCCATCCTCTCTGATGCATGGATTGCTGCAGCACCTATGGTAGTCACTTCACCGAAGAAATTCTTGAACCTCTTAAGGTTCTATGACTTTCTAAAACCCTGTTGTTTTATAACAACTGCTAGGTACCAGCTTATCTGGCTAATGTTTGGTACAGAACAGCGCTACTGTTTCGCCGCTGTTATTCTGTGGATTTAAGGCATTTGCAGTACGCCGGCACAGCGTACTGACTTCACGTTGAGGACATACAGACTAACCGGGTATGATTGCCGCCTCATATACTCTATCCACGCCTGGTCATTGGAATGAACATTGGTAGCTCATGTTATTCAGCTAACGGCTGAACTGTTTTCTGAGCTTGGCAATTTTGTTTCAAACGTTTCATCATCATCTGTGCATTATTGCGTAACTTGTAGTAGCCTCAGTGAGGCTTCCCTACACTACAACTGCAAAGGGTGGCGGTTATCTTGTCTTACCAGGCTCTCACACGGCCTAACTTCTGACCAAGTGCTTGCCGATTCGTGTCACTTGTCCTGATCTGAACAGCCTGAATTCACTCTCCCAGTACCTGCGATGCTTCAGAGTTGCAGTGTCCCACGCGACATTTGAGTTGCTAATTCTCCTGAGCATAATATGTTATGTGGTCTAGATCACAGCTTATTGTTGCATACTTGGATTATCATTTCATATGGGACTAGACCAACCGTCTTATTAACAGATGCCATCGGATGTTTTAATTACACACGTATATACTTAAACAATATATTCTTACTCCGGGGAAAAGGTATTCCACTATCTTTGGTTTGATCAATTCCATTATTCGGCTGCATATTCCATGTAGACTTTTCATGTGTGGACCGTGACTTAACCACTTCAGTTGGCACAAAGATATTACTTGAAGGATGTTTGTGAGTAGCGTAAGGTTCGTAGAAAGTAGAAATCACGATTAAACTCTACACAATAATCTGCCTCGACGGGGAATCGAACCCCGGTCCAACGAATTTCCGGTCCGCTGCTCTACCACTTCGCTACCGAGGGCTGACGATTAGGTACGTAATTTAATACATGGCTTGTGCTTGGTGCGCGACGATATTAGCTCATCGAGAGAGGCCCGTATTACGCAGGACGCGATGTCTAACATCGTCGTTACGAACATGGTGTTTCCACAACACACTAGCTATCCTCCGCAGACAACCTATGTCAGAGGTCGAAATCCGATGCAAATCATTTATACAGATCGTCCAGGACCCGCAGCAGCGAACATAGGCATAGTAGACCCTTCCATTTATCGTGAGTGAAACGTCGCGACGACGACGCATCATCATCATCATCATCATCATCAGTGCATGTTAGCTGAGGGTGAGAAACACATCCCACCTATTGTGTCGCAATGTAAAAAGAGATATTCGACAAAACAGGCTTAGAAACTAAAAAAGGTAATATAATGCTATCATATTATGCATGGGGTAGGCGATCGTTGCTGTAAAGGGGAGCTCAATGAGAGTGGAGCGATAAAGAAACCCACGACATAAGCGTCATTGAGATCTGCTGCTTGCCATGCAAACAAGTGTATCCAACTAGACGTGTTCATCATCCTTAGAACCCCAGCCAGGCAGTCGGGAGACACCAACGGACACCAAGTTTGAAGTGAAGATTTTCATTCCTCTTGACTAAGCCATTGCTTGGCCTCCCCTCCCCTTCTTCCATCCACATCCCCGGCGCGCAAACAACGCACGTCGCGGGACTCGGTGTGCCGACATGCACAATACGTGGCCCAGCCATCGGAGCCTGGTGCGTGAAATAACCTTGCTGAGTAATTCAGTTCCTTTTGATGTCATAAACAAGTCGCCGAACACACTCATTGCTCACCCGGTGCTCCCACCAGACATGAGCTAAGCGGTGAAGGCAGCGATAATCGAACGTGACCAGCCTCTTTATGTCTGTCGACTTGATGGGCCAGGTTTCACAGACTTATAAGTGTTGAACGGACGGTTGCATTATAAACTCTACCTTTCACGGCTAGAGCGATATCGTACCGATGTCATAGGTGTCGGAGATTGGAGAAACACCCCGGGCTTTTGATGTATGGGTCGTAACCTCATCTTCAATCCCACGGGCGCTAATATAGCTGCCTAGGTACTTGAATTCCTGAACGACTTCTAGCTGATCACCACCAAGGATCAGCGCAGGGGTGGGTCCCTGCTTATCTTAGAGAAGTACTTTGCATTTCGATGCAGCAATGCGTAGCCTAAAACAACTAACAGCCAGTACTAATCCGTCCAGCGCTGCTTGGCACGTTTGGGAGCTGTCACAGATGAGGGCAATGTCATCCGCATACGCCAAGTTAAGAAGTCGCTCACCAGGAAGTAGCTCCACACTTTGTAGATCGTGTGCTGTGAACGGTGCTTCCATGATTTCGTCAATAGTGAAGGTGACAGCTGGCAACCTTGTCACGCGCCGCTGGAGATATTGAAGAACGGCGATGGTTTGCCATAAACCTTCACTATACCCAAACTATGCACATACATTGCTCTGATAATGTTCACATGTTTATTGGACATCATTTCTGAACAGACAGTCCCAAAGGGCACATCGACCCACCGAATCGAAGGCACTTTTGATGTCGAGTAACACGATAACGATGTATTGACATTAAATACTTCGGTGCTCCAACAATCGACGCAAAGTGGAGATATGGTCGATGCAACCGCGACCTCGACGAAACCCGGCTTGCTCCTCACGAAGCTGGCTTTCACGAATGCCAGTCAGACTGTGGCGAACGACAGGCGCAAACACTTTAGAGGCAATTGAGATCAGATTGATCTCTCTATTTTGATAAGGCTTTCATCCCAGTAGTTCACAAGCTACATAGCAGAGCCTAGTCCGGAAGTGTAACAGACACGTTTCGCCCTATTGGGGCTCGTCAGTGATGCGCATTCCCTCGGTCCCCTAATGGGGATCGAACCCATGACCGCTAGTGGTGGATGCCAACTAGCCTGCAGCTTAAGGCACTGATCCATGAGGGACGTTGGCTGAACTACATAATTTGCAAACTAACTGGGATATAACATCACCTATCTTCCACTGTCACTGACAGTGGTTAGCCTGCGAGGTGATGACATCCTCTCACTAAACGCTATATCCATAGCATTTGAAACTAGGAGAGGCTATTTGTAATTTATATTACTCACGAGTAGCAGGATTTTAGTTGTAATTCTGATGAGGCTTTCATCCCAGTAGTTCACAAGCTACATAGCAGAGCCTAGTCCGGAAAAGCACCAGCCGCGTTTCGCCCTATTGGGGCTCGTCAGTGGTGCGCATTCCCTCGGTCCCCTAATGGGGATCGGACCCATGACCGCTAGAGGCAGATGCCAACTAGCCAGCAGCTTAAGCCACTGAGCCATGGGGGACGTTGGCTGGGCTACATAGTTTGCATTCCGAACGGGACTATGACTGAGCGGCTCCAGTCTGTCGGGACAGTTTTCTGCTCCCAGGTTTCACTAGTAATTCATGTAAGTCATCTACCAGAGCAGGTCTCCCGAATTCGATGAAGGCTTTTTGCTTTCTCTCTGCCTCTGTACTCGTATTTATTTTCACCAGTCTGATCTCACGTTCAACTTCTATGCCTGAGGGCAGATCCAAGGAGACGGTCCAGGAAGAAGGGCACTTAATGCCCGAAGTGATAACTCAGATTGTTTAAACTGTCTTGCAAAGTTTTCAGTCCAACGCTCCAAGCGTTTTGACAAGCTGTGTATCGGTTGTCCACTCTTGTCGTGTATGGTCTCGCTAACACTAGGTCTACTGCTACCTGTTTCCCGTATCAGACGGAATGACTTGCGGTGATTACCAAGGACAGAGGCTGTTTCGGATGCACGATGAGACCACCACGCTTCGTGGTCTCTCTTCCGACTAGCACTCTGGGGTTTTTGCGAGTCTCATTGTATTCGCTTCCAGTCAGAATACGTCGGCGAGCATCCAGTGACTGCGTAGCCTTAATGTCCAGGTTGGCATTTTGATGTGCCACATAAAAACATGTCTTCTGATAGTAACATTTGGCCAATATGCATCCAGTGATGTTCAACGGTGTTCAGTGGGTGTTTACTCAGTCCGGATACGAGCGTACTTTGATACGCATTCAGAACACCTGGCTTCGGCGGTTGACTGGTGTCTATGCGGTCACAGCGACGTTGCGGACGTCCACCGAAACGCACTCGAAGGTCAGCACACACAAGAGCGTGATCCGGGTCCACGCTCGTGCTCCCAATCGAGCAATACTTTTGGATGCAGCCTCCAGCTGTAACTCATCGCGATGTTATCGATTTACGTCCATGGCTGATCCAAGACTGGTTGGCCCCGAGTCACTCTTCTACATGTGCTGTATCGCAAGTTAGTGCCCGCAAGAAACGGACGAGCATCTTCGCACATGTGTAGCAACCGCTCATCGTTATCATTACAAAAGTCTACACCATGTTGACTGCCCAGATGAAGCTCATCAGAGGACAATTTTCCGACTTGGGCGTTTAGATCACCAGCAAGCACCACAGTATCCGTGCTTCTCCTGTAACGAAGGAGATCATTAAGTTGGTGATAAAAGTCCTCTTTCACCGATTCAGTGCTGCAATTAGTGGGGACGTAGGCCGCAATGAGAAACAGGCACCGTTTGTCCCCACGCGACTCCGAAGCTTACAACGAGCCGGCCAATCTAACGGCGCACATCTGGCTGTTGAATGGGGTCCAATCGATCAAGACTGTTTCAGTCCGGAGACAAAGCAATGTCGACGCCAGCTTGACCGACACTTGAAACTGCGTCATCTCCAGACAGTCGAAATGAGAATGTGCCGCCAAGGTCGCATGTGGGGGATTGCAGAGTAAGCACGGAGCTGGGATCTTGTAATCAGGTTTCCGATAAGCAGCAAATATCGATCAATAGGGTCTCCAGTGTTCGGACAAGTGCTGCGTTTTGTCCAATCTGTAGCAAAGTGCGCACGTTGAGGCATGCCAGTCTTAGCGAGACTCGAGGACTCCAAAGGGAAACTAATGAACTGGCGTTATCCGCTTGATTGAACATGGACTTGTTGACTAGACTGGAGCGACGCCATGTGATTTTTGGGAGTTGAAACTAAAAGACAAGCGACTACTGAAGCAAGGTGGCGGAGGGCCAAGGACCGGGGTATTGAAAACAGGGGTGATAAAAGTGAAGGTGGTGCGGGACGCTAAAGATGCAAAAGCGCAAGTGGGGGAATAAGAAGGCGGGAAGGTCTGAGCAGTAACATCCAAACCCCTATCCACCCTGCTCGATGCAGAAGATAGGGCGCCGTTGATTGTCCTCTGCGATGGCCAGAGCATCAAGAAATCATGTGGAGGGAAATTCATAGACTTGTAGTTCGCGAGCAGGATATTGTCAGGTTGCTCAGACCTAGACAGGAGAACGATTAGGGTTCTCTACCAAATCCTTTAGTCCAAAAATCTTACCGCAAGGCAGCAGGGTTTTGTCACTGGGCTACAAAGGTCTGTTTTCCGGAATAAGGAGCCGCCTTTACTTCAACCCACAACCTGGAGGGCCAGAAGACTGAGTTTATCTGGCCTCTAACCATTGACCAATCTGGCATGCGTTACTCTGAAAGTGCAAAAGGCACCACACAGCATAGCTCAATGGATCACGGAGGTACGCAAACTGTCACACCACGTTAAGGTCCAATCTCGTCGCGATGGGCTGTGACACTTGGGCGACTCGAATCATCAAATCAACTTCGGATAGGTCTTCCAGCCGGATATCTGCACTTCACACACAAGCAGTCCGATTTCGCCTATTAACGACAGCGGAGGCGGTCGCGATTCAGCTCCATAATCCCAACTTATGTGCCCAAAAGAAGTTTGTTCAGACTCTTCAATTACCCTGGCCCCAAGCCGCCCTGTGCTACGACGATACCCTTAACTCTTCCATTAATGTATCTACAATTTGGCACGGTTCAATGGATGATTAGGTTGACGTCAAACGGACATGTCTGACTCCCGTAAGCCCAGGCAGTTTGAGACAAGTAGACGTAGTTCAATCAGTGCTTGGCTTAGTGTTATGGTGACATAGTGTTCTCACAAGATGGCAAGCTGAAACCACATAAGTCACTGAGACTCGCATTCAGATCAGCAAACATGTTCGATTCGTCTCCACACCATGAACTACTTATTTTTTCGATCAACCTCCGCAATCGCGAAACACATTTTTTGATCAGCCTTTATACCTAAGAAATATTCATCTTGTTAACCTTCGCAATTACCAACATTCACTTTCCGACATGTTCCGTTCACTGACTGTTGGCACATTAACATAGTGCCAAATCGCTTATGCCATTTTTCCATGGTTTGCTTACGCAGGCCATTCTACATGAAAAAGCGCCTATTTCACAATCGAGGTATGTAAGCAAAGCTGGAGAGTGTTATAATTACCCTCCACCTAACCCTTTAAAGTGCGTGTTGCTAAGAACCTGCCTTTTATTCTTATTTCTCTCTCGAAGTTGAGTAATCACTTGTGAAGTGCGCTTTCGGTATAGAAACCCGTTCGACTTGCCCGTAGAAAACGTGTAGCTCCTAAGTCCTAGGTCATAAAAATTCGTGTTCTCTTGGCTACTTTATCGTGCGGGGATGCAATTCTACATCACGTCCGTTCGTCAGACTAGGGGAGCTGATACCAGTCCGTTATAACACATAACGTAACCAAGAGACAGTCATAGCACCTAGCACTGACTCGAGTAAAGCCAGACAACAAGAACTTGGCGAACTCGGTTAAGGCAGATGCCACAATTGTCCAGTGTTGTCACCATGGACTGCGGTATCTTGACCATTGTTGAACATCTGAACTGGACTGAATCATTCAGTGCTCTCCTGTAGTAGAGTTTTGCTGACCCGTTGCCTTGAGGATCACAAGCATGTATTGTAATCTGAAGTCGCGGGTTCTAGCCTACTTAGGAACCGGGCGACCCTCGCAGTATTCTTTGTCGACGCGCCACTGGTGGTGATTACGTGGCAGCGAAGCGTCGGTACTACCTACTGGCGTACTCCTGATGCCTTTTGGACTACACTGTTGGCGGATCCTCGACAGTGCATTCTACTTGTCACTTTTAGGAAGTAGACTCCATTTTCATTGAATATCGGCTGTACATCACCGATATCTCCTAATGCGGTTTACGAAGTTCATCTTCGAAATAACCCTATTGCGCACACTAAATGCGGACTGCTTGATCTCCTTCAGATGGTTTATCCACGCACCTGGCCTCATGGCCTGTTGGGCGTATGGTTTTATTCCGTTTTCAAACCTCGGATTAACATCCACTCGAGCCTCTTGCATGCGCACGCGGTCTAAACTCGTCTTACTGATTTCATCTTATCGACTGTCAATGATACTTATCTCGACGCATCGCTGTAACGCTCCTCCGTTCCACCGCGTGTCTAAACCACTTGTTGTGCTTTTGAACTTCTTGCAGTGAGGAGTTCCAGGCACTGGAAGCTTTGGCCAGACACGAAACGGACGAAGAGGCTCGATTTCGCAAATTTCGGGACATTATGAGCCCTGAACCGGATCAGGTAAGTCACCGTTTCGGCTATCTGAACTTCAACATGACATTTTGCATGACGATGAATTTTTAGCCACATAGTACATTTACTCAGCCAAACATACACACTTTCCTTGATCTGATTCATCCCTCTTTTCATTGGCAGGTTTTCACATAGATCTTTCTACCCTCCAACTCGTTCGAGCCTTGATATGCCTAGAGATCTATTTGACTACCATTCTACATCATACTTTAAGCTAAACACGGAGCTGCCGAATATGACAGTTGAACTGTTCGCTGAGCTTGGCAATTTGGTTGCAAACGTTTCGTCACCACTCGAGATGACATCATCATTGCGTAGTTGAGTGGCGTGCAATAGCGTAGAATAGCGTACATGAGCCTCGGTAAGAGTGCGCTGAGCGTGGTGTGCGTGCCTTTTTATACCGCGGTGTTTGCCCGTGGAGACGAGCAATCCTATTGGTTGGGATTTCGATCCGCCTTCAGCCCGATTGATGGGCAGGTGACCTTTGACCTTGACTCCTTGTGTTTCGTGGCCTTTGTCTGCTTGCGCTTATGGGCGAATCTGCCGTCAGTTCTGGTTGGCCAGCCACACGTTCCACCGGATTCAATCGATTGAGTTGGCGGTCTTTCGCCAGTAGTGTTGCGTATACTGCGTCCAGTTCGATGTGTCGATTGATTGAATTCGTTGTGAAATACCAGGCTTCCAAAAACTCCCTGGCGTGTTTTGTACTTCCATGTGCTAAGATCTTAACATGCTCCAGATCGAAATGGTGACCTTCTTGATCTTCGTGCACAGAAACCAATGAGTGCGGATCATCTCTTCTGACGGCCGCCTTGTGTTCGGTGATTCGTGTACAAAGCTTCCTTCCAGTTTGTCCGACGTAATTTTTATCGCAGTCGCTGCATTTTAGCTGATAGATGACATTGCACTGGTCGGCTTGATTGACTTTCCCTTTGGGTCTTGTGATCCATTTCCTTAGGGTAGCACTTGGTTTATGAGCCACAGAGATCCCATGTGACTGTAGCAATCTTCCTGTTAGTTCGGAGACGTTCCTTATGTAGGGGAGCACTATTCGTTTGTTCGCTTGTTCAGGTGCCTGCTGCTGCTGTTGATGATGATGATGATGAGACGTTCGTTTCTTTAGGCTTCTTCTGATGAAGTTTCTCGGATAACCGTTTTTTTTAAACACTTGTTATAGATGCTTTTCTTCCTGTTTCCGCAATTCGGCTGTGCTGCAGTGCGTTTCCGCTCTTTTGAATAGGGTTTGAATGCAGCTCTTTTTGTGATGAATATGTCTATTGCCTGCAACGAGCAAATGCGTGTCATGAAGTTCTACTCTAGTCCATTGCATACGGTTACTGTATGGAAGCGAATCGCCTTGGTGGATGCAAACTGGGGGTACCGAATTTAAAGCACATCGCTCATTTTCTTTGGTTTGAGCGTCCAGTGGTGAAATATTGGAACAAGTTTCTGGAGACAATAGTCGAGGCGAAATCGGTCTCGGAAATTGTGATTCCTCGGCGCCCACCTTGCTGATTATAGGTATAGGGAACATGTCGCACCCGAATGAGATGTAGTGCAGCTGTAATATGCTGTCACCGCGCAGGATTAGCAACGTGATTCCGTGCAGGTGCCCGATCTAACTACGACGAAGCAACACCCTTTAATTTCGATATTCAGTATTCACACAAATGGATTTTCGGCTACGCGATTCCCCTCCAGCCATAAACATTCATTACACTGTTAACACCACAAGGAAGCATTTTGGCGGGTCAGCCGGATATATATATTAATCGTATACAGCTGTTTTATGACAATATTAGTTACTGTTATTGTAAAGCGGATCAGAACAAACGGATTCGTTTCACTCCAGCACTCGAATCGTAGTCTTGCATCAGTTTCAGCTCATGCTCGTTCCACCACAATATTATCCCTGGCTACCGCATACATGCGGCGTGCATAGTTTTTTATCTAGTTCATCGCAGTTAGATTAGGTAGGTCAACTACTAACCCGAAAGAGCACCAGATGACCGTTTCTCCCCGTTAAGACTCATCGGCAGTGCACATTCCCTCGGTACTTTTTAGAGGACCTAACCCATAGCCGCTAATGGCTTGCACTATTAGCCAGCAACTTAAGCCACTGAGCCATGGGTGAGGACAGCCAACCATCACGAATCGAAACCTAACTGCGATAAAGCCTAACCCATCCTCCACTGCCATGCAGGTAACTGCGCGTGCAGAGGCCAGTGGTTGGCCCTCAGATGTCAGGACTTCCCTACCAATAACAGTGAGTCTACCCAGCATTTTGTGGACTATTAGGGCCCATTTTTGGTTATTAAATCTCACCACATCCTAATCATGACTGCTTCATAGTTGTTTCGCACCAACCCTCTACTGATTCTTCACTTGTCAAGGCCGATGCAGAATTAGAAAGCATTGGACATTGAATTTGATGCACAATAAGGCAGGAAATGTGCTTCCCTGCTGCGGGCAGAGACACAACATTGCGATGTGCGCTTTTACATGAATGACCGAAGACAACGGGATGAGACATTTCTTCCTTTCGATGAACACAAGTCAATATAGCCACGTAGCCCAAAGGTAACAAGTTTGTCTTGTAATCTTGCGGCGCGACTTCGAGTCCGCGTAGGGCGGGCGTCCTCGCGGTATACTCAGCCCACGTGCGACCGGTGGTAGTTGCGCGGCACCGAAGCGTGGGTACTGCGTACTGGCGCACTGCCAATACCTTCTTTGCCTTATGTACACGAGTGAGTGCATTTTCAGCATTTCGCAAAAACTACCACTGATGGAATAAAATTGCGACTTCAAAAATGCAACTTGTATAGAGAAAAGGCATTGAGTGCATAGGTGTCACCTGAATAAACAGTCCCGTAAATGCAGATCATAATTTCCATTGAAGTGTGGATCATTGGTATTTGCTTTCTGTCGATGGTACAGTGTCGGAGTCCAGTTTCTCTATCGGGACGATGATTCTTCAAGTTGCAAAAACGCCTTTCGATAGCTTTACATGTATCACGCGCAGTATTTCATGTTTCTTTTTCAACAAAGGTCAACACAGTATAACACTAGTGACCTTGTAAATGAGTAAGCAAAATAACTGTCGACAATATTTCGTATAAACTGTTGGATCCGCTGTAAATAAGGTAAAAACGCTGTTCCAGTGCAAAGAGAGCGGTCGATTTAGAGGTCCCGCTACTCTGGCGATGTTTTATGCGGAACTTGTTCTTGTTTCTACTGCCGCTGTACAGAGGAAACGTTGAGACATACGCCATTTGTGTTCACTCAAGCAAGAACTACATTGATAGAGGTGGGGCGCGCGCACCGTTGTTTTGGTCCAGAGAGGTCAACGCGAATGGAGATCATGTATCAAACCACCCAGTCTGCCAATTGCGCTGGTTTTGCCAGCGTGTAGGACGCTATGCTATTGCCTCGCTCTTGGTCAAACCTGGGCAGAAGGTGACGGTGGATGTATTGCATAACTTCGTAAATAACCACCAGTCAGCAGATGGTTGCTTCGGTACTTTAACGTTTATCTATGCATGATTACTTCATCGCACGTTGTTACTGGTACATTTCGTTGTCAATTCTCTAGTACAGTAGAATCCTGAGGAAATCAGCTCTAACTACAAGCCCGCACCATTTCATTATGCGATCGCGGTGTCCAGTAATCAACTGGGAATGAATTCATAGATTAACCGTTTCGCACTATTGGGTTGTAATGTACATTCATGTCGTTTTTTGAAACGTTTTATTGCAAGTTACAGAAATTATAACAACAAATTAGTCAGTGGTGTGCTCTCCGTCATTGTTTACAACCTGCTCTCCCATCTCGACCAATCTATCCACGCCTTTTCGACAGAAATCGCCAGGCATGAGTTCGAGATTGTTGTAGTCATAGTTCAGGCTTCTCGTCGTTATCAAAGATTACGCCTCAGCTGTTTGCACATCGAGAGGAAAAGATGCTAGTCCGTTGGCGCAAGATCTGGGGATTAAGGGTCGCTTTGACGATGTTTACAACATGGGGCATGGTGTCTCTATGGGACAGAATGATTTGACTTTGCCCATGGAGTCTTTTCTACTGGATACTTTCATGCTCACTGTGCAGCTGATCTATGTAGGGATTCCTATCAACTGTGTTATTCTTCTCAAACTTCTCCCAGTGCACAATGCCCTCCCAGTCCCACCACAGCTTACGATATTTTTGGGATAGGGGTTTTGCCTAACTCTCGGCTTTGGTGTGTCTCCTGGAGCCACCCACCCTTTGTTTCACGTTCACACAGAGACACTCTCATCTCCATTGAGAATTCTGTGTAAAAATCGGATCTTATGGTCGCGTGTTGCTCAATGTCGGGCAAGATGTTGAGCGGCATTGCAAAGGCGATCTTTTTTGTTCGCCGTAAGCTGCACGTTTTTGAGTAAAGCCAATTGATTGAATGTGATAGGATATCATTATTGAATTGCTGCTCATCGCGACCAATTTGACCACCGTCCTCCTTCAAATAGTCTTCCTCGAACTCAGTAGGTCACCTATAATGACGCGTGTCGTCCCGCTGGAAGTTGGTGTTCTTGGACTTGGCACACCAATCTCGAGCACTTCTCGCAGTTACAACACCTTTCTTAAACGGCACAAATATCCCAAGCTACTTTCGGCAGAACGCGAAATAAAACAAGTGCAGCAAATATCTTTTCTTGCCACCTGGTATCTCCATTTCGGAAGAAATTGTGGCAATAAAATTGTAGAGGAAGGAACTCCCTTTCGTATGACCACATCCATTTTGCCGAATTTCGAAATTATGTAGTGAAAAAAACAAAATATTTAAAGATGGCTGGAGCCTATGTTGCAGTTGGATTGTTAATCAGAAGTACTACAGTCACTGTGTTCGAATACGGTAACGAATACTCTTCTATCGACCACTCCAACTGTTTGCGAGAGCCCATACCTGCTGTCGTTGAAGCAACGTGACACTTCTTTACCGAATACTGATCTT